TCGCAGGAAGGAAGGGCCGGCTGCCGGTCCGGTGTGACTCCCCCCAAGTGGACGCTGCTATTTATACCTCTGTGGCGTGAGGTCACCCGGGCGGCCTCATCCTCTTGTGGACGAGCCCAGAGAGGGTGTGGGATGGCCCAAGGCCACACAGCATCGGAGCTGGGCACAGGGCGGCACTTTCTTATTTATTGACTAGAGGCCCGGTGCACGACTTTCATGCACTGGGTGGGTGGGGAAGGGGGTTCCCTCAGCCCAGCCTGCGCCCTCTCACAGTCCGGGACCCCTCGGGGGATGCAGGCCTAAGCCGGCAGTCGGACATCCCCCGAGGGGTCCTTAGCACTGCTGAGGAGGCGGGAAAGGCTCGCTAAGCTCATCAGCCGTGGCCCAGCTTCTGGCTGAGCAGAGCTCCCCCTGTGGGAGCTTACTGACCACCAGGGGGCAGCTCCTGCACTGAGCGCCTGCCCCCTGGTGGTCAGTGCGCATCATAGCGACCGGTCGTCCTGCTGTTCGGTTGATTTGCATATTAGCCTTTTATTATATAGGCTGCATGTATTTATTTATTTTTTTAATTCTCACCCGAGGGTATTTTTCCATCGATCTTTTTTAGGGAGAGAGGAAGGGAGAGGGAGAGACAGAAACATCGATGTGAGAGAGACACGTCGATGGGTTGCCTCCTGCACGAGCCCCGACCAGGGCCTGGGGCCAGGGAGGAGCCTGCCACCGAGGTCCGTGCCCTTGACTGGAATCGAACCCGGGACCCTTTGGTCTGCAGGCCGACACTCTATCCACTGAGCCACACTGGCTAGGGCGTTTCTTATTTTCTTTTTTAAGTATATTTTTATTGATTTCAGAGAGGAAGGGAGAGGGAGATAGAAACATCCATGATGAGAGAGAATCACGGACCGGCTGCCTCCTGCACGCCCCCCACTGGGGATTGAGCCTGCAACCCGGGCACGTGCCCTGGCCGGGAATCGAACCCGGGACCCTTCAGTCAACAGACCCACCAGCGCTCTATCCACTGAGCCACACCGGCCAGGGCTGGAACTGAGGTTTCTGACGCTCCGGTCCGCATGTGGGCCTGCATGTGGCCCCGGTTCTGGTGGTGGGTCCTGCAGGGGGGCCTCCTCGGGGCGTCCTCCCTCTCACACTCGTATAGGGCGGACCTGCCAGGTTGGGAGCGGCCGGTCCATGCTGGGAGCCTGGTGTGGGGCCGAGGCCTGTCCCAGGCCAGGCTGAGTCAGAGGGTAGGGGAGCCCCCAGGCCAGGCTGACCCACCCGCACCCTAGCTGACATTCTGCCCCGGGGTGCAGGCCCAGCGAGCCCCCAAAGCCCTGTCTCCCCCTCCCCATTCCTCCACCCCCCCACCAGGCCTCAGTGCCATGGCTCTGCACGTTTATTTGGGGTGAAGTGTTTGAGGCCCGGTTGGCGGTGGGATGGGGACAGCAGCCCCGAGAGCCGACACACAGCGGGGCACTGGCAGCCTGACCATGGCTGCCCCCCCCTCCCCCTCTGCCCCCGGCTGCCCCTGGCTCTCGGGCCTTGGGGGCCATCAGCTGGGATGGGAGCTCAGGGGGTCCCTCTGTGCCCCGGGCGGAGGGGCAGAGGCCTCAGTGA